GTCTTGCATATATTACAATGCATAGATGTTAATTTTGCACAGAAGCTCCCTGCGGTGTTTCTGCAGCGATCACTTTCGCCTGGATATTTTGTTTTTAAATCGTTGTCTTGAGTCACTTGAGGCTTATCTTAACCTTGCACAGTTAACATTGTTCTCGCGCTTCTGCTAAAACAGTTTCTTAGCGGTCAGAGGTCTGTGACAAAGATGGAAGTAAGAAGAAAGAGTTAGGAATATGAAACTGGTAAGTAAATTTGAGTACACCACCAAATAGTACAAGAATCAGCCGGAATGATTGAATTTTTGGTTTAGTAGCCTATGATCTGACACGTTAGTTGCCTGCGTCACTGACTTGTACGATTCGGTTCTTCTAAAGATGAAGAACAATAAAGAAAAAGTTTGCAAACGTAAAGACGTCGGTTTCCCCAACGTTTCCATGGTTGGCGCCATTTTTTACACAGTTCTGATCTTCATCCCGATGACTTCAGTCACGAATCTTTTCTTCTGTCGTGTCATGGCTAGCTGATAGAACCAAGATTCAGACCGAAGCACATATTCCAGTGTTCAGCCGGTGGCCAACAGGGAACAGAGCGTTCTCGATACGAGAAGTTAACTTTTATGTGTGTATGTAAGTTGGGTGATCTGAGTACTCCGTTTCCCTACAGATTTTGCGTGATCACCCTTTTCAAATTTTCTATATCATTATAGCTTATGCTCCAGTTTTTGTTCGGCTTTCGAATAGAAAAATATTTCTTTTTTGTAAAAACCATCGCCTCTAGAATCAAACCACAGATATGGTCACTAGTTCGTAGTTAATAAGAACTTGGTTAATTTACACCTATCTTTACACACCTGGCTTGATATATGCAGAATTCAGAGTACGGTAGGTAGTTGCACCCGATGGTGATGGCGTGGTGCTGTCGTACTTTGCGATTGCTGGGGTGGTTTACCGTTGTAGCAGCTAGTTTGGCCAGAAACGGAATAGCCATCTCGTGGGTGACCGACCGGAAGAAAGAAATGTAGGATTTTGAAGGGTTCGAATTGCCATCGAAGTCGCTCTTTCCTGTCCAAAGGCAAGAAATGGTCACCGTTGTACGGACCTCCGCCATTTTTTGTTCAGTTCTGTTACCTCATTTCTTTCTTTTAAAATCGATGGTACTTAATGTCCGCTGTGATCGAATGCTCCGCCGCAGCCGCAGCAGTCTTTTTCATATGCATATTCCGGAAAGATCAGTTACGTTGGATGTTATGGACAGTTAATTTACATGTGTGTAACCGATCTTTTCGGATACGCATATGAAAAAGACCGCTGCGGCTGCAGCAAAGCATGTACCGTCGATTTTAAAAAAAGAAGTGAGGAAACTGAACGGTACAATATATACTTAGCAGTGACAGCCACCACTGTTTCGACGACGAAAATGACAACCACGGATGTTTCTGTTTATTGTGTTTTTATCATTGTTAGGCGCTGAATGTCAGATAACAGAAGATTTGATTTCCTGGTAAAATGTATGCACTTTTGTTAAGGAAGATGTCGAAAATGGGTCAGAAGGAAGGTTCAGAGAGAATTGGCTTTCGTTTCCGCTACAACCCTTCCAGATGTGTAAAATT